GGTTACATTAGATGATGTTTGTTTTCGACCCATGGGACATGGCTACGACTGTTTGATTTTCAGTCCAACAAACTATTTTCAGGTTGACTCTGTTTCCATTGTTTGTTTTTACTCCATGCGAATTTATATGTAAATCTACTTCCATTTTCACTTGTGATCGGTGTTGTGCAGAAAACCCGTCGTTTTGTTATTTTAGATTATTTGAGGGATTTTGGCTAAAATTATTTTGTGGACTTAGCTCATTCAGCGTGCTTTTAGCAAAATTCATCCATGCTCGACATATCCATCACTGCGCACATTACTGCTCAGCAGAACACCGAAATAGATGATGATCTCGACTATTATGCTGACGAAACAGAGACAGAGCAGGAAAAGGTGGAAACGAGAAACTACCTGGATCACATCTATGACTGCATTCAGTAAGTTCGAATTTGCGATTTCTTAATATAGAATGAGTTCCAAGTGTAGGAACCCCTACAACATTGAAACATCAACGAACATGAGCTGTCTCGGCACTTTTGGCGGTCCGATCTTTCCAGAGCTTGTCTTCGGTGGGGCGTCGGGAAACGAACAGGTCAGCTTTAATACTTCCACACATGTTTCTTGCTCATCATTCTAATAATAAATGTTCTTAGCTGACGGATTCAAACGCCCTTATAATCACAATTCCTGTGAATGGCAAACAGTCTAACCTGAAAAAGGCCATGGCATGGGAGCAAGCGTGAGTTTTCATTTATTACCTGTACACAACTTTTGAATGCTAGCATAATTACCACAGCAGTAATCTTTGCTTTTCAATCTTAGCTAAACCCGCTTCATTTCAATTGATTCAATATGAACGAGGGAAAGGCGAATTAAGTAGTGTCTAATGCAGTAATTGTGTGATTTTTAGATTTATCAACCTGATGAAGGAATATAAACATGACGATATACAAGTTTCATTTATGGCGGAAAGATCTATCTCGGTCAGCTTTTTTCTTATATGCACATCTTCCATATTGTAATTGATTGATGTAGGATGTCTCAGTCACTAGTCAGTTTCACTCAAAATGCATATTTTGGAAATTCTAGGTAATTATCGGATGAGCGCAGGTTGTTGACTATCATTAGTCTTCATCTTACTGGCTTACTGATTATACCTAGAATTCATACTTTTTTTTCCAGCAACGGCTAGCCTGTTTAATGCTTCTGGTTGTGCGCCTTTTGGCGAACATAAAAAAACAAAATGTTTCTCCTTTGATTTCAGGATGAAATAGAGAGAGAGAATTCATCAGACGTCTACACAGTTCTAATCAGCTGTATACTTATGATTGGCTATGTTGCGTTTGCACTCGGACAATATATCGTAACAGACAATAACTTGCTTTCCCTACTTGTGCATTCAAAAATTATCGCTGGAGTGGCAGGTGTTGGTATCATCATGTGTAGTGCAGCTAGGTGAGTTAGCACCCCTATATTACGTTTTCTTTCTATCATTTCAGCCCAATCTTCTATTTTTTTTCTGAGAAAAATAACCTTAATATCTGTAAGTTTAGTTGCGAAACCAATAGGTTTAGG